GCGCCAACTCTAGCACCCTCAGAAACACAAGCGCCAGCAGAACCACCAGCGCCAACACCCCCAGCAGCTCCAGCTCATGCAGCTCCAGCTCCAACACGACCGGCAGCTCCAGTACCGCCAGCAGCTCCAGCAGTACCTCCAGCAGGACCAACTCCAGCAGCCCCAGCAGCATCAGCACCGCCAGTACGACTACCTCTAGCTCCAGCAGCACGGCTCCAGCGCCGGGCAAACCACTCTCGCACCTCTTGCGGAGAGAGTGGCTCCCGCCTCGACGAAGCACCGCGAGCGGCTACATGAGCAGACCGAACACCCCAGGCTCCACATCTCTAGGCTCAGCATCCCCAGGCTCAGCACCCCCTGACTCAGCACCCGCAGGCTCAGCACCCCCAGACTCAGCACCCCCAGGCTCAGCACCCCCAGGCTCCGCACCCCTGGACTCAGCACCCCTAGGCTCCGAACCCTCAAGGTCAGCACCTCCAGACCCGGCACCCGCAGGCTCAGCACCTCTTGCAGCACCAGAGTCAACAGCTACCTAGACAGGCTCGAGTGCATCTACCTGGGACACACCTGACGGGGCAAGACCCTGAGGGGGGAGTGGGTCTACCTGGGGAGGACCTGGCGCAAGGAAGAGCGTCGGCGGGGGGAGGGGCGCAATGCGGTAGGGGAAGAGACGGTAGTAAGGCACCGCCTCGTCAAAGGTGACGTCCTGGGAGGACAGAACACGGCGCGAGGTGGGGTGGTAAAACTGCCACCGAGACGCTTCAATGGGAAGCCAAGGAAGACGCAGGGAACAGCACGGGGGAAAAGATTGTCCGTAGACAAGTCGAGGACAAACGCCCGAGAACCCCAGACATGAAACCCAGACGCATCGCCAACCTTCCCCGTCCACCGCAAGATGGGGGAGGTCTCTGGCAAGGAGACCCGGGGCTGAAGGTTGAGCTGATGCGCTGCGTACTGAACCGCAAACGGCCACAGAAAATGGGGGGCAGCCGCACGGATCATGAACGTACGAGCGACGTCCATGACCATGCCAATGTAGCGCTCAGCAATCCCATTTTGCTGTGGAGAGGCCGGAAGCGTGAAGGTCTGGCGGATGCCCTATGCTCGACAGAAGGCTCCCAGACGGGCAGAGGAAAACTCCCTGCCTCTGTTAGAGTGCAGACGCAGAACAGGAAAGTCCGAGCCGAAACTCTCTCTGAGCTCGAGACGATTTGCGCGGATCCAGTCGATCAACACCTCAGCAACGTCACCCTTGCTGCACAAGGGGAAGACTGTGGTGTAACGCGAGTAGTCGTCAACCACCAATAGGAAGTAACGCTCGTGCCCCTGGCAACGGACACGGGCTGGGCCCCACACGTCCATGTGAAGAGTCTGCAGTGGAGCCTCTGTCGGAGGAACCTCGGACGAGTGAGGGGCGGCGCGCTATCGCCCCTCGACGCAAGGAACGCAGGTAGGGGCAGGCCCCGGAGGGAGGGGAGGGAGAGATCGGGGGAGACCAGAGAGAAGGACACGGGAGGCCATGCCTTGGAGACGAGGCTGGGAGGGTTGACCAAAGCGGTGGTGCCAGAGGAGAGTCTGGTGGGACAGGAGACGACATGAGCAGGGAGCAGACTCAGGACCAGACCTGGACGCTGCAGCAAACACCTGACTCGACGCAGCTACCTGACCAGACTCAGCAGCCGGAGGAGACTCAGTAGTAAGTGTGTACAGGCTCGACCCCGGCCGACGGGTGAACGTGGCCAAGTGTCGGCCTGTCCAAGCATACGTGCAGTGGGTCACCCGCTGAATCGCAGGAGTGAACTGGTCAACCCCCCTATCATGTAGATCAGCTCCACTCATCAAGTTCGTAGAGAACGAGGGGAGGTAGAGACCTGACAGGGTGCCAGAGGGGGCTGCCGGGCACGGTAAGACAGTGGAGAAGCTAGCAAGGACAGGACCCCCAGAAGGGTCCGCCAAGGAGCCTGCAACCGGCCGACGAAGCGGCGTAAGCGTGGTGCGGTCTCGAAAGAAGGAGCGGGAAGCACCCGAGTCAAGGGTGAAGGTGTGTAAGGCCTGAGCCGACGTAGTATCTGAGAGAGCAGACTCACCAGCACCTGGGGCAGCAGACGCACTAGCACCTAGAGCAGCAGCGTGACCAGCACCTAGAGCAGCAGCCTCAATGCCCTGGTCAGGCAGAACACACAAGTAACAGTCACCCTCAACACTATCAGACACAGCATACATGGCAGCAAGAATAGCATCATAATCAAGATCAAAGATAGCAACTCCCGCCTTTGACAGCTCTGCCTAGCGAGGGATATTAGAAGCCTCAGGGAACTGGTGACGCCACGCGTCTGTCAGGCGGCCGAAGTAGCGCTGTGCGGAGTGCGGGCCCCCGCACTGCTCACCAGCGCGGTCGCCGGTACGGAGGACGTAGGTGCAGGGGCCAGTACCCCCACCGCGCTGACACGCAACGTACCACTCACGAAGCTGCTGAGGGGATAGGGTCTCACGCTTGCGCTGGTGCTGGTGGCGTGGACCACCATCGGACCCACTCCTCTGCGCAGGGCTGCGACCAGCTCCACCGCTGCCGCCGCTGCCTCCGCTGCCTCCGCCACCTCCGCCGCTTCCGCTCCCTCCGCCACCGCCGCCGCCTCCTCCGCCTCCACTGCTGCCACCGACACCGCCACCCCCGCCACCACTCCCACCACCACCCCCACCCCCTCCACTGCCTCCACCACCACCTCCTTCGCCCCCGCCAGCCCCTCCAGCGCCCTTGCCCCCCTTGCCCTTGCCGGTGCGGCGTCTCCCGCTAGGGGCAGACGAAGCGCCGACCGACTCAAAACCAACGAGGTCGGCCGCAGCAGCAGAAGCAACAGAGGGCAAGAGGGGGGAGGGGGAACACCCCTCAAAGACGGGGGTGCGAGGGTCACCACGAGAGGCTTCTACAGCGAATATGCTCTTCTCTGCTGCTAGGAGGCGCTCCTCGAGGAGGTCAACGGTGAGTGTGGTGGGGCAAACTGAGAGGAAGTGGTCCTTGACAAAGCAAAGGGAGTCTTCTGTTGGGCGGCTCAGCTGCTGAGCTGCTCAGTAGAGGCAGCGTCGGGGCCGGCAGAGGCGGCGATGGGGCCGCTAGGGGCGGCGACGGGGCCGCGTAGGGAGGGGAGCGGCAACGGGGCCCCTAGGGGCGGCTACAGGGTCGCGTAGAGGCGGTGACAGGGCCATGTAGTGGCGGCGACGGGGCCGCGTAGGAAGGGGAGTGGCGACGGGGCCGCTAGGGGCGGTGACGGGGCCGTTAGTGGCAGCGACAGGGCTGCGCAGGGGCGGCGACGAGGCCGCTAGGGACGGCTACGGGGCCGCGTAGGTAGGGGAGCGGCGACAGGGCTACTAGGGGCGTCGATGGGCCCGCGTAGGGGCGGCGACGGGGCCGCGTAGTGGCGGCAACGTGGCCGCGTAGGAAGGGGAGCGGCGACGGGGCCGCTAAGGGCGGCGACAGGGCCGCGTAGGGGCGGCGACAGGGCCGCGTAGGGGCGGCGACGGGGCCGCGTAGGGGCGGCGACAGGGCCGCGTAGGGGCGGCGACGAGGCCGCGTAGGGGCGGCAACGGGGCCGGGTAGGGGCAGCAATGGGGCTGCGTAGGGAGAGAGATGGCGACGGGGCCACTAGGGGCGGCGACGGGGCCGCTAGGAGCGGCGACGGGGCCGCTAGGGGCGGTGACGAGGCCGCTAGGGGCCACTAGGGGCCTGGAAGGGCGGCGAACACGGCGCACCTTGGGCAGGAGTGACTGACACTCCGGTGAGAAAAAAAAAAAATAGTGGTGGGCACAAGGAAGCGTTCCCACTAGGGACCTGCTCTATACCATGTGAAAAAACGAGGAATGAAATGAACCAGCACAAGGTTGGGTACAAGTAGGAAACCCTAGGAAGCTGTACCCCATAGTGCCTACCCCACTATAGCCTAGACAAGCTATATGATATAAGCTTGACAGCTAGTGCGCCCATAACCCCCCAGGCCAACATGCCTATAACCCTTCCCTAGGATCAATCGAGGATCACCAGTGGACCTCTGACAGGACGAGATTCTCTGCGACGCCGCGCCCTACTTTCCGCACAACCACCCCAACAAGCCGCACTGCCTGCCAGCGGGGTCACTGGGGCGCCACGTAGACATTCAATTCCGCCTACTGTGCTAAGACCTCGTCGCCCCCCTCTGGAGCAAGGCGCTCTTCCTCCTCCATCGCCTCACTTACGAATCGTTCGGGGGTGCCCGTGGTGCAAGCAGCAGCGGGAGCAGCAGCAGGGGGGAGGCAATGGGGCTGCTGAGGGCATATAGGGAGTCGGTGAGGGGTGTGGCGGATGCGATGAAGGGCATGGTGGGGTTGTCCTCGGAGGGCATAGACGTGTATCTACTAAGGGATGTGCGAATGCTCTCCATCCACGCAGACCAGCACAGCTGCATGTACTTTTTGATTGACTTCCTTGAGCCCCCCATGCCACGCGGCTGGCAAACTCGTAACGGGTAGAGCTCTGGCTTGTGTGGGCAAGCAAGGCTCACTCTTAACTTAACCTAACCAGGCCGGCCGTACTTGTGTGATGGGATAGTTGAAATGCTTGCTAGTGGTGTGTGTATCCGGCTATCCCCTCTACACCCTTTGTTCTCTGTCACTCGCAGGGTTGAGTTCTGGGAGAACACGCGGAGGCTGCAGCACGGCGCCCTGGTCTTCCTATGGATTCGAGACGTCGAGCCAGGCCTCAATCACCACACCCACTTGCAGCAAAAGTTGCAGCAGCAGCTGCGAGTGCCATTACATTCCCCCCATGCAAGAAACACGCCAGCCGCTAGCGACACTTCCTCCCACCGCCTCATCTTCGCCATCATGAGAGCTCGGGACACAAAGAGATTTGCTGCTGCCCGACTGCAAATCGCAGTGTAGCCGTGCGGGGGGAACGGGTTCAGTGCGGAACTGTTGGGGGGGGAGTGGGAGGTGTGGTGGGAGGACGCAAGTGGTGATGCTGGAGGCCCATGGGAGCTTCTTTGCGTATCACCAAGGCGTCTCTGCCCTTTGCTGAGTACATATGTGGGGTACCTGACGGGGCACCTGGGTGTGCATCTGGGAGGGCACCTGGAGAGTACAAGCTACCTGCGTACATCCAAACGGGCATGAGGTGAGTACAAAGGGGTGGAAAGAGGACTGGGTGTTGGGGGAGAGAGGCAAGATGGGGATGGAAGGAGAGGGGAATAGTTTGAGGGCTGCACTGTTAGCGAGAGAAAGAAGATATAGAAAGAATATGGGAAAAGGTGGAGGTGTTGGTGTTGAAGAGAGAGGAGGGACAAGGAGGTTCAATTGGTGCATCCTCATGAGGCTAACATGAGGAGCCATGTGTGCTTCTTGCAGGTATGAGTGATGTAAACTCGAGCCTGCTTCAACTCTTGTAAGAGCACAAGTCTCTCTTGCACTTAGGCACTGGACAAGGCATGTGTTGTCTTCCCCCTCCTTTACCCCCCTTCCTTGGCAGGTACGACTTGAGGTTGTTGCTCAAGACCAAGGTATCCTCCTCCCAGCAAGCACAGATCCCACCAGAGGACGAGAATGCCATCAGCAACGTGCCAATCTCCAGCCCATGGCCTTCCCATCGTGACTATACCTGTGTTGTGCATTTCCTTGGAAGGTACGACTTGAGCCTACTGCTCAAGACCCAGGCCCAGCAGGAGCAGATCGCTCCAGAGGACGAGTATGCCCTCAGCAACGTGAGGATTACCTGCCCCACGGCCTTCCCCATAGATGCTCTCCTGCGCTGCATGTCGCAGAACCAGTCCCAAGCTGCGGCCCTTACCCATGAGTTTGCTCTACTGCAGGGCCCCCAAGGAACCGGCAAGGTGTGTGAGCTAAAGACATGTTTCTTGCTCTCGCTCCTGAACATCTCGCAGGAAGAAATTTGGCAACTTCTGTCTCTGTGACTCACTAAGGTGGTGTCGTGTGTTCCCATGGCAGACGTTCGTGAAGATAAAGCTGGTGGAGATTCTGCTGAGCAATGCGTTCAAGAGCAGCGCTAAGGGGCATGTGTCTCGAGGCAGGGAGGCGGGCAGTGCCATGGGTCCCATCCTGTGCGTGTGCTTCACCAACCACGCCCTGGATGAGTTCCTAGAGGGCATCATTGCTAGCGGCATCAAGAAGGTGAGTCAAATTCATTATTGCGCCAATGCACTAATCATTTGCGTTGCCATGCACGCGTCTCAGCTTTTGAGGCGCCTAAACAAAAGAATATGTAGGTAAGGAGAGGGAGTCCAAAGGTGGCATCAAGAGCATGAGTTAGACTGCATCCCACAGATTTCTCACGTAAATGTGAGGGGGTTATTTATGTATGTTGTTGTTGTTCTTGCTGGAAGCAGGCGCTTTCGCTCGGAAGGGATCACTGGCATGTCGCTTTTACAAACGTGCGCATCTGCATTGCACGCAATGTCCTTGGTTGTATCTCTGGCTGTGGAGCTTACATTACATGTGCGGCTCCTGCTGTGCCATGCGTCATGGCAGGTGGTGCGAGTGGGAAAAAGGTGCAAGTCGGAGGTACTGCAGGGGCAAAATCTCCTCAACATCATTCGCACCTCCAATGTGGATCGCAGCCAAGGTGAGCACTGCACCACAGCAGATGCTTCCCAACCTCTTGCTTCCAAAGTTCCTACTTAGCATCTGTTATGTGAGGTTGTCTGGGGGCGCGTGCGCGTGCATACGTGTCTGCTTGCGTGTGTCTTGCGTGTGTGTGTGTGTTTGTTTGCTTACGTACGCGTGTGTTTGCTTGCGTGCATGCATGCATGCGTGTGTGTGTTTGCTTGCTTGCGTACGTGCGTGTGTGCTTGCGTGCATGTGAGAGCAGCGTACAAGCACTCGACCTATGAGGTGCACAGCACGCTGGGCGAGGTGGAGGAGGTGATAGCCACGTACAGCGACGCGCTGCAGCAGCGCAGCGCCAACATAGCGGCTGTCACGTGGCGCTCCATCGCTGCGCACCTCATGGCCAACCACCTCGTTTTCTTCCACGCGCTGCACCCCACCACCACAGCAGACAGCGACGGGTTTTAGGTGTGTGGATAGGTGGACAAGAAATGGATGCTACGTGCATGATTAGAGTGTGTTTTGAGCTAGCCCAATACACTTCACGGCCAGCCACCCTGTTTTCTTCCATCCACTCGCTACACGCCATCAGCACGGTAAGCAGTGACGGGTTCTGATAAGTAGGTGGGCTGGGTGCAGTGGGTGTAAGGAAGAGCGGGTGGGTGTATTCCAAGTCGGCCCAATATGCCTCCTAGCCACTCCAGCCTGTGTGTGACGATGACGCTGTGGGGGAGGGTGGGGTTGCAAGTTATGCCTGTCTAGGATGCCATGGCTTTTTGTTCTGGATTTCTCATCCTTCAATTTCTCTTGTCCTAAACAAAGCAACCCAGCCGTGGACACAAGTACACCTCTTGAAACGTGAAACATCCCCTGATTCTTGACCACTTCTCTTCGTTCTTGTGGTCCACTGGCTGTTCGTTTACCAGCACGTGGGTCCGAGCAACTGGACCCGGTGGATGGAAGCGAGGCCTTTTGGCCTCAACGGGAGGGCGGGGAGGGAGAGGGGCAGGAGGGGCAGGAGGGGCAGGAGTCTTGGGAGTGGAGGACGATCTCTCACATGCGTTTGATGACTTGAGCGTTCACAACGGCAGGCGAGGCCCAGGCACTGACGTATCCCCTGGTTGTGCTGACAGCTGGAGAAACCAAGGCAGTCGGGGGAACCAGAGCAGCAAGGGGAATGAAAGCAGCAGGCAGGCACACGAGAGCATAGGGGAAGATGAAGAGGAGGAGGAGGAGGGGGAGGAGGAGCAAGGGGAGGAATAGGAGGAGGAGGAGTGGATGGGAGTGGAGGTGGATGAGGCGAGTGACCGCGGGGTCGGGGCGCTGCTAGGTTTGGCGGACCCATGGCCAACGAGTGGGCGGAAGAGGAGGAAGCTAGTGGCGGTGTGGGTGGGGGAGGTGCGCGCCACTGCTGCTGCTGCCATCGAGGCTGAGGTGGATAAGTATGCCAAGTATGGCCGGTGCTGGTGGTGTGGTGTGAAGGGCGGTGCTGGTGGTGTGGTGTGAAGGGCGGTGCTGGTGGTGTGGTGTGAAGGGCGGTGCTGGTGGTGTGGTGTGAAGGGCGGTGCTGGTGGTGTGGTGTGAAGGGCGGTGCTGGTGGTGTGGTGTGAAGGGCGGTGCTGGTAGTGTGGTGTGGAGGGCGGTGCTGGCGCTGTGGTGTGAAGGGCGGTGCTGGTGGTGTGGTATGAAGGGCGGTGCTGGTGGTGTGGTGTGAAGGGCGGTGCTGGTGGTGTGGTGTGAAGGGCGGTGCTGGTGGTGTGGTGTGAAGGGCGGTGCTGGTGGTGTGGTGTGAAGGGCGGTGCTGGTGGTGTGGTGTGAAGGGCGGTGCTGGTGATGTGGTGTGAAGGGCGGTGCTGGTGGTGTGGTGTGAAGGGTGCGGGTGGTGTGGTGTGAAGGGTGCTGGTGGTGTGGTGTGAAGGGCGGTGCTGGTGGGGTGAAGGGCGGTGTTGGTGGGAAGAAGGGCAGTGCCGGTGGGGTGTAGGGCGGTGGCGGTGGGGTGTAGGGCAGTGGTGGTGCTGTGAGGGTGTTGGTGGTGTAAGGGCGGTGGTATGTGAAATTCCGGTGGTGCTGGTGGGGTGAAGCCACCGCCACCGCAGCATCCGCCGCCGCCGTTGCCGGGACTGCCCCTGGCGGTGCCGCTGCCACTGCCACTGCGACTGCCGGTGGCATTGTTCACCGGGCGCGCCAAGCGTAATATGGCGGGGAGCATTATTTTCATCATGCGCATGCATTTCGCCATTGGCCTTGCACCTACCACGTTAGAAAGAATCACTTAAGGCCATGTATGGCTTCGTAATATGCACTACCCGGTTGTTGTGTGGCTTCCATGTGTGAGTGAACGTGCATGAAGGTGAGGGAGCGAAGTGAGCTGCAGCAGATGGAGGACCTGCAGGTGTTGAAGAGGGCGCAGGTGGTGGACATGATTACGTCCGGGGTGGCCAAGATGCAGCGCCTCATCACAGCGCTCAACCCGCAAGTCATCATCGTGGAGGAGGCAGCTGAAGTGCTGGAGGCGCACATCCTCACGTCCCTTATCCCGTTGACCCAGCACGTTATACTCATAGGTATACATTTGGGCTGTTGGTGTGGTCGGCCGTGGTTGTGGTTGAACATTCTTGTCATTCGGTTCTCTTTGTAGCCGAGTGTTTGCAGCTGCATCCAAAGGCGAAGGCATACGAGCTTAGCACGCAGCTTAAGGTATTTTTCTCTATTTTTTTTTTTATCTTCGTGTTAAAATGGATTGGCAGGCGACCACAAGCAACTATGTCCCAAGGTGGAGGTATACGACCTTAGCAAGGACTCCCACAGGGGCTTCGACCTGGATATCTCTCTCTTTGAGTGCCTCGCACTCTCCCGGCAGATCCCCGTGTACACGCTCGCAACGCACCGCCGCATGCGCCCGGAAATTGCCGACCTCATCCGCTACACCATCTACCACAGGCTTACAGACCACCTCTTTGTGCACGGGTATGCTTTCAGTTTCTTGTGTGTAAACTGAAGCATTTCTAAGCAAGTTCATTTGTGAGTTGAGTCGACTCAAAACACACCACCCATTCGTCTACTTAGACATCTCTAAGCAAGTTCATTCACGCACCCGTGCAACCATCCCCGCTCCCTAGGTACCCTGACGTGCAGGGCATGGCAGTGAATCTGCACTTCTGGGACCACGGCAGCCCTGAGAGCGGTCGGGACGACCTGGGGGGAGGCAAGTCCAAGTCCAACGCGGGGGAGGCAGCCATGGTGGTGGGGCTGGTCACGTACCTGCTGCAGCAAGGGTACACGGGAGGGGATATCACCATCCTCACACCCTACGTGGGTCAGCTGCTGAAGCTGCGCCAGGCGCTTTCTCAGGTGGTGGATGTGCGTCTGGGGGAGGGCGATGCCGAGGAGGTGGAGAAGGCAGCAGAGCAAGCGGGTACTAGGGGAGGTGGACCTGGGGGGGGAGAGGCTGATGGGGAGACTAGGGGGCGGCGGGTGGGGAAGGGGAAGGGGCTAGGGCTGGGTTTTGCTGCACCGAAGGCGACCATGGCAAATCTGAAGGATGCAGTGCGGCTTGCTACCGTTGACAAGTAAGCATCAGCAGTGGAAAGGGAAGCCATTGGTATATTTGTCTGCCGCTCCAAGAACTTGCTGTTCCAAAAGTGGCCATGACAAGAAGAAGGGCATATGCGGTTCAGCTAGCTGCTGTGGACAACTGAGTCAGTGCAGAATTCGAGCAACCGGAGAGTGGGTGTGGAGCATGTGAGAAGATGAAGGGGTTGTTGACGTCTTGCGCTACGTACGTGGTGGGTTGATGCGGAGAGCACATTGGTGAATTGGTCATCTTGATAGTGCGCAACAACTTTTGTTGTCCTATCAGTTCTTGAGGTTTGTTTCTATGCGGCTTGGCTTAACCAATCTGTATGCTGGTAGCTTTTTCTTGTTCAACCCGCCTCCTCAACTTGCTGGGTGTTGTTTCCAGGGTAAGGAGAGCGGGTTGGTGAATGAAAACCACCAGTAATGCTGATGTTTTGCCTTTTCTTGAACCAGCTTATATGAATTTTTCTCCATATTTGTGGATGTTTGTGTAGTTTCCATGGCGAGGAGAGCACGGTGATCATAATCTCCCTCGTGCGGCACCAACCGGACGGTGACATCGGGTTCCTCAAGAGCCCCAACCGCACCAACGTGTTGCTCTCCCGCGCCAAGCACGGCATGTACCTCATTGGTGCGTGTGTTGCACGTGTATCGTTGGTGAGTGCATGGCGTGTGTATCATTGGTGAGTGTGTTGCATGTGTATCGTTTGTGAGTTCATCGCGTCTGTATGATTGGTGAGTGCGTTGTATGTGTATCATTGTGAGCACATGGCGTATGTATCATTGGTAAGTATGTTGCATGTGTATCGATGGTGTGTGCATGGCGTGCGTATCATTGGTGAGTGTGTTGCATATGTATCGTTGGTGAGTGCATGGCGTGTGTATCATTGGTGAGTGTGTTGCATGTGTATCGTTGGTGAGTGCATGGCATGTTTATCATTGGTGAGTATGTTGCATGTGTATCGTTGGTGAGTGCATGGCGTGTGTGTCATTGGTGACTGTGTTTCATGTGTATCGTTGGTGAGTGCATGGCATGTGTATCATTGGTGAGTCTGTTGCATGTGTATCGTTGGTGAGTGCATGGCGTGTGTATCATTGGTGAGTGTGTTGCATGTGTATCGTTGGTGAGTGCATGGCATGTGTATCATTGGTGAGTGTGTTGCATGTGTATCGTTGGTGAGTGCATGGCGTGTGTATCATTGGTGAGTGTGTTGCATGTGTATCGTTGGTGAGTGCATGGTGTATTTATCATTGGTGAGTGTGTTGTATGTGTATCGTTGGTTGTGTTGCATGTGTATCGTTGGTGAGTGCATGACATGTGCATCATTGGTGGGTGTGTTGCATGTGTATCGTTGGTGAGTGCATGGCGTGTGTATCATTGGTGAGTGTGTTGCATGTGTATCGTTGGTGAGTGCATGGCGTGTGTATCATTGGTGAGTGTGTTGCATCTGTATCGTTGGTGAGTGCATGGCATGTGTATCATTGGTGAGTGTGTTGCATGTGTGTCGTTGGTGAGTGCATGGCGTGTGTATCATTGGTGAGTGTGTTGCATGTGTATCGTTGGTGAGTGCATGGCGTGTGTATCATTGGTGAGTGTGTTGCATGCGTATCGTTGGTGAGTGCATGGCGTGTGTATCATTGGTGAGTGTGTTGCATGCGTATTGTTGGTGAGTGCATTGCGTGTGTATCATTGGTGAATGTGTTGCATGCGTATCGTTGGTGAGTGCATGGCATGTTTATCATTGGTGAGTGTGTTGCATGTGTATCGTTGGTGAGTGCATGGCGTGTGTATCATTGGTGGGTGTGTTGCATGCGTATCGTTGGTGAGTGCATGGCGTGTGTATCATTGGTGGGTGTGTTGCATGCGTATCGTTGGTGAGTGTGTGGCATGTACATTATTGGTGAGTGTGTTGCATGTATATCCTTGGTGAGTGTGTGGCATTTACATCATTGGCGAGTATGTGGCATGTACATCACTGGTGAGTGTGTGGCATGTACATAATTGGTGAGTGTGTGGCATATGTTGTGGCCACATATCACCATGAGGGCGGCTACTTTCAAGAACTACAGGATGTGTTGTGTGGCTAAGAGTTATATATATGGTGTAGAGCAGGGACGATTCGTTCTCTTCATCCTGCTGCACTGGGCGAGGGTTGTTGAGATACGCTGACACGATGAGACACATCTACTGCGCAAACTGACACTCTCCTCCTCGATGTCCCTTTTTCCTTCGAGAACAGGCAGCGCCAGCAGCACGCGAGCAGCGACCTCCAAGGCCTCCCTGTGGCCGCGCATCATGGGCATGCTGGACAGAAAGGGGCACGTTAAGAGGTTCATCCCGCTACGCTGTGCGAGCCACGCGGGCATGGTGACGCACATCCAGGGTGCGGGCGAGTTCAAGGAGAAGGCCAGCGAGGGCAGGTACTCGACTCACTCCCTCTGGCCACACCTACCCCCGCAGGTCAGAGTCAAACCGTTATCTCTCTCCTATGCATTCCCCTTGTGTTGAATTTCTATCCGTATAAGCATCATGCTCTCTACAACGCTCGTGTTCTCTTTGCTCTCATGTTGCATCCTCCCTTTTCGGTGTTCCTAGCTGAGTTTGTTATTACAGTGGCTCCTAAAAAGGGAAGAAAATTACTCAAATGCTCCTGTCGGTCTTTCTTTACCCCACACGTGCCATGCGGACGACATGAGTCACACCAGCACGTTCTGCCCCATGGGATGTAATTGAACAAATGCCTCAACATGTTGCCCTAACACGTTGGGCCTCTGCAGGACACGTGGTTGGCTCAACAGAACCCCTCTGTCTTCTATCAGTACCCAACAGGTGCCATGCGGACGACAGGGCACACGCCACCATGTTATGTGGCCAGGAGTGCAACCGCATCCGGCCGCTGGACGAGTGCACTCGCCAGCACACATGCCCCAAGCAGTGTGGCGAGCCCTGTGGGCTGTGCATGGTCACCATCAGGGAGGTGACTCTCCCTTGCCCCCATCAGGCCTCCAATGTCCCTTGCTTCAAGGCACGAAAGCCCTCTTCCATTTCCTGCTGGTGGGTTCAGCTTTCCCACCTGCATGGGTTTGCCCTAGGCAAGCTAAATGCCAACATTTTTCTTTTCAACCCGTGCCTTCTTCCCACCCTTCCCTGCCTGTCTTTTTGCACTTGCATAACTGCCGCCCTTTGCCTATTTCCCGCCATTAACTCTTTTCGTGCTGTTGCCTTTTCCCTGCCCGTGCCTCTTCCCTGCCTGTACCGTTTCCCTGCCCGTGCCATTTCCCTTTCCTACACTTGCCATGAACCTCCTGTGAGTGCCTTCCATGGCTGCCTTGCAACACACCTGCTGACACTTCCTTTGCAGATACTGATATTGGTCGCACGCCTCCCTCATGTCTTCCCTTGTCCCTTTCTCCCCTCTACTTCCCATGGCGGCAGGAGAACGGTGAAAGTGACGATGCCGCTGTGCGGCAACGAGCAGGAAGTCAGGTGTGGCGAGGCGCCCACCACACTCACCAACCCCAAGCGCTGCACCGCTTGCTGCGGAGCTCTCATCTCAGACTCCTACGGCCATGCCTGCATGTCCCTCTGCACTCACTGCATCGTTGCTCCAGCTGCTAACACTGACCAATGCGTGGGCTTGCAGCAGCAGCACCAGCGGTTGCAGAAAAAGCACAAAGAATGCACGCAGTCCTGCAAGCGCGACCTCCCCTGCGGCCACCTTTGCCCCAACCCCTGCCACCTCGACAAACCCTGCAAGCCCTGCGCCAAAAGGTGCCTCATGACGTGCCAACACAGCTCCTGCCCCCAACCCTGCCACCGGACCTGCTCCGCCTGCAACGAGCCTTGTGGGTGGAGCTGCAGGCACCAGGGTCGGTGCTCCCTGCCCCGCGGCGCTACCTGTTACCGCCTCTCGTGCGAGCAGCGGTGTGAGAAAAGGCTCACCTGCGGCCACCAATGTTTGTATTTGTGTGCCAAGAAGTGCCCTTCCCAGGCGTTCTGCATGGTGGAAGGGCGTGGGTCCAAGAAGAAGAGAGAGATGAGGGTGGATTTCATCACATGAAAGACGTTGGGAGAGATTGATCCCAACGAGAGCCCTGTGCTTGTGCTGTTCTACTAGCATGCTTTCACCATTGAGTCCCTCGACGACTACCTCGGGCTCAGTCAGGTCTACTAGGAGTCGATAGGTGCTTCTGGTGGCTGCAGTGCAGTTGGAGGCTGTACGGAAGAATCGGCGAGCAAGTAGGTGGCAGTGCGGTTGTTTGGGGGCAATCTATCTGTCCTCAAGCGCTGCCCGGCTGCCGCCAGCCAATCAAAGGCCTCCGTCGGTATGGCACAATGGAGAACAGGGCTCTGCTAGACGAATTAGAGCATAATTTTGCCCTTTGCTGCAAGGCAGACCAGTAGCAGCTCCAGCACAGGCTCTCCAAGCTGAGCCAAGCTCAATCAGCATGTCCGGAAGCTACTCCCTTGAGGCAGATGGAGGAGCTGGGTCAGGCTGCGACTGTCCTGGTGGAGGAGGCAAGCAAGGTGCGAGGCACTGCATTGGATCCGCCCACCAAGTAGGCCTACCAAGCTTCTGTAGCTGTGCTGTAGAGAATGCACCTCCGGTTGGTATCTCCGTCATCCAGGTTCGGCTGCACATTCGGCTGCAGGTTCGGCGGTGCCAGCATGGGAGGAGGAGTGCCAGCTGCTGTATGTCTCCCAGCCGGACCACGGCTGCTCTATGAAGCGCTCTACTAGGGAAAGCATACCAGCTGCTCATGATGGCACATCTCCTCCACCTTCGCCGCCTGCTGAGAGAACTCTACGATCTCGCTAAGCGCACTGACAAGAATAGCGCCATCAGAGCATCCCTTTTGGCCTAGCCGCCTGGCAATTGCAGGGAGGTTGTGTGTGCGGCGCTGGAGAAATAAGCGAGGCATGTCGAGGAGGCAGTGGAGTAGGCCGGCAGGCGCAAGGCGCCGGTGCTGGAGGCGAGGGGCCGGCTGGAGATGGTTGACGTGTTCCATGCGTTCGTGGAGGGGAAGATGGTGGAACGACTGTTGTCAACCTCCCGGAATGGCCTGGTAACAAACCCCCTCTCTCCTATTCCCTGCCCCCTCCCTTCCCCTCTCCCTCCCATCTCCCTCCCTCCCACCCTACCACACTTCCCTCCACTCCTTTCCCTCCTCTCCATTTTTGTTTTGTGTTTTGTGGGCCAAATGAGGCATGATGGTTCACACGTGTACTGTGATGGCAGGGCGAATCAAAGCAGCAGCAGCTGGAGTATCTCGAGAGGGCCAAGACCCAGTTCCACATCGTAGCCATCTCCTACCAACCAGCCTCAGACACAGAGAACGACGACCACCTTGCTCAGATAATGTGTGTTTTCAGATAATGCGCTCAGAGAATGATGGAGAAGGCTAATGTGTTCAAGGCAATAGGTTTGGGAGGGAATCATTGGTAACGGCGCCACAACAGGCATATAAATGCGACTGGGAAGTGTACGGGGCCATGCAGGACTCTTGCTGGCCTGATTGTGGAGAGGTGATGGGTGGGACTCACCATACGCTCACAAAAAGTAACCTTAGAGCCCCTGACTTTTAAAACGAGGATTGAGATTATGGGCTTGAGAGAACCACCGGATTCGATACTACTATGTGTTGTTCAAGATCCGTCGCTTTGAGAACTTACGATGAACTAATTACACAACTAAACGGAAATCCGCTCAGTAGGACTGTGCGCCTTCAAAATATGGTCTGTATAGTGAGAACCACTTGAAAACGTCTAGGTGCTACATGACTAGAATGGTGGAGGAAGTACAAACATTAAGGCGTAGAAAGGTCGGAGTTGGGGACCCCAAGAGAACCATGCGAGGGAAGAAGTTCTCCAAGAGCTAGGGAAGGATGATAGGAACCTTCCTAGCAGCAATGATGCAACCCTCATCATTGAGGTCCTTCAGGTGTCACATGCAAAATCCAATCTAGTTGGATTTTGCCTAACTGTTGATACATTTGCAACCCGTGCTAGAAAATTATAGCCACCCCAATCCAAAAGCCAAAGTTGCCTTCCTAACCACCCAACCAAATATCCATATATAAGTCATGTCCCAATAATCGCCCAATGTAGATAATATCTCAAAACAAGATAAAATTCCCAAAACTTGGATGTAACTTGGGCGATCTTGGTCGCAATAAGTCGATCTTGGTATCGTTGGAAAGCTCTGGATTTCTCTTGCATGATTAAGCATTCAAACTTGGATAAAAACACAGAGATTATGAAATCCAACAGCCATGCATAATATATATGCTCATGCAAACAATGCACGCATGAATAGCACGAGCACTCGGCAGAACGTTAGGATGCCATGCACTCAAAATGACGTGCATCCAACAAACTCCCCCTTAGAATAAGCACAAGTCTGGTGCCCAAAGCACGTTCTTCAGCCCCATGAGCTCTCCATCCGGCCCCATGAACTAGGCGCATCCCATGCCCATGTCTTTGGCCTTGGCGCCCGTCGCGGATGTGACTGTAAAGATGGGTGCGTGCTGAATCTAATCGAGTAGGCCCACACGAGGAGTCATGTACCAAAAGCTTCCCGAGTCAATCACCCAATGGGTGAGGGGGTGTAGGAGAACCTTGGCAGCCATGGCGGGGTTGGTTGCGCCTTCGTTCACGAAGAAGAAGAACCTGGCCTTCGGCTCCTCATATTTGCCACTTTTCTCCTCATCCTTCTCCTCTCCACTAGCTCTCATAACCCCCCCACTCCTTGGGCCACCACGCTAGTTGCTTGATGAAGGCGCGGTCCATTCCATAAATCGTTGGTAGCACTTCCTCCAACGATGTCCGCGCTTTTTGCAGTAGAAGCACACCTCCCTTTGGCCCCCACCGCTCTCATCCTTGTTCTTGCCCTTCCACTTCTTCTTGAAGCCACTCCTTCCACCTCCAACTCCATAGCCAGCCCCCTCCTCCGAGCAGTCCACACTCTGCCGCCGCAAGTCCTCCTCAGGGATGCGCACCCCGATCTAATCCACGCTCCATTGGGGCTGTTGGGGATTGAGGTTGATGGCAAGGGCAGACCACGACTCCGGCAGTCGTCTCACGATCCCCACGCATTGCACGAGCTCCGGATACACCACACCGCCGCCTTGGAGCTTCGTGAAGATGTCGCCATCTCGTCCAACATCGGTTGCATCGGCTCTCCATCAACGAACTTGATGTCGCGCAGCCGCCGCGCGAGTAGCACGATGCCGGTAGCGTGTGTCGGTGAGTGCACATCCAGAAGCTTCCTCCAAGCCTTAGGGCCACACTCTGCATCACCTAAGAGGTCGTTGATGTGGTCAATTTGTCGTCCTCCAACCGCTTGCACCATGAGCATGGACGTGTCAAACGATTGCTTCATCCATGCTCCTTTTAGCTACGCGGCCTCAGGCATCTTCTCCTTACCCTCCACCAGATCCAGTAGCTTGTATTGGGTATACATCAGCCTCATGCGGAAGCTCCAGTGCTCATAGTCCTCCCCCATGAATTTCTCGATAGAGAACGCCTTCACGGGATCCACGGTTGTTGGAGATGGTGAAGTATGTTACGTGATGCTATCATTTGCATTCATGTCCGTCTGCCTCCCATGATATGTTCATGCGTTGCATGCGTAGTGCAAAAGTGTGCAAGAATTTGTGTTTGGGAGAAGAGGAGATGAATCAAGGAAGTGGAGAAGCAGTTGAGAAAAAGATCGAACCGCCACCATCCAAGATGGAGGCTTTGGATGGCTCCAATTGTGAGGAATGGAGAGGGCGGATGAGGAGTGCCTTCAAGCGCTACAAGTTGCTGAAAATTGTTATGGGAAAAGAGAAGATGTCGGAGGAAGGAGATGCCCGCGAACGATGGATAGAGAAGAACACGGTGCTTTTTGACCATATCATTCAATTAGTCAACAATGACATGTTCCAGCATACAAAGGATTTGGTGGAGCAGGATGACTCCGGGCCGAAGGCGTGGAAGCTACTACGCGATGTGATTCAGCCCAGCGCGCTGCTGATGGTGATTGTGTTGGAGAAAGAGTTGCCAGCCCTCTCCATGCGACCGCGAGACAATATGAAGCCGGTGATTGATAAGATCAAGGACACCTATGCGAGGATGGTGGCGGCGGGCAGCAACGTGTCACAGATGCAGCAGTGCACCAAGATCATCTCGGTGCTTGACAACTCGTGGGACAACCTTATCCCCACTCCCAACGCTCAGCAGGACCAGTGGACACCAGAGTGGCTACGGCAACAGATTCTGCAAGAGGACTTCCGCAGGCGCCACACGGGTGATGGTGCTGCCAACAAGACTGCTGAGGGGTATGGAGCTGCAAGCGGGAGAGGCCGAGGCCGTGGGTGAGGCTTTGGCAGAGGGAGAGGTCGAGGTGACTATAATGAGGGGCATGGGAGCTCTGGTGGCAGGGTGAGCCATCGAATGGAGGGTGAGTGCTGGTAATTCAAGAAGGTTGGACACCCGTGGTTCAAGTGTTTCAGCCGGCCTGAAGGATGGGCGCCTCCATGCATGAATTCGCCAAGTGGTGAACGCGCATGAGGTGGCGACGTGCAAGGTCCAGGTGCACATGGTGAAGGTCCACAAGGTAAAGCCGACCCTGGGATGTTCTTCATGGTTGAGGATGGGCAAGGGAGTGGGGGTGATGTGGGTTCAGTTGGGAAGGTTGTGATGCGCCCCCTCACTCACTGGGTGATTGACTCAGGTTGCACAAGTCACCTGACCCCACGGGCAGATTTGCTTGACGAGGTAAAGCCCCCCAGGAAGATCAAGTCTGTGGCGGCCGCTTCACGTGCTTTGCTCCCTATGATTGGTGTTGGGAATGCCAAGGTGATGGGAGCCAATGGGGAGCGTGTGGGACGTGGGAACGTGTTGTTGGTTGAAGGTTTGTCCGCTAACCTTCTTTCTGTTTGCCGGCT